AATGCCATTAAAGTCTAATTGATATGCCAAACTTTTATACATTGAGAAGTTAGAGATTGAGTTTTAAAAAAAACTTAAAAATTAAATGATATGGATGACGATTTTTATATTTCATACTGATAACTTAGACAGAATGAGACCCCAGACGTCCTTTTTTTAAACTTTAGAAGAATTATAAAGCCCCACAGCGAATAGCAGTTCGCTTTAAAAATATGTTTTAAATGGTTTAAAAATCTCAATCATTTTAATTTTGCAGCTTAGTAAGTTAAAAAAAATCCTGCAATGATATAAATAGAAATCTGTGCATGAATTGGCACATTTCGCTTGAAATATTATATTAATATCGCTGATAAATTCGCAGTTCTCACTCCTGATTCACTTAGTCATTGAAAAGTAGTTTTCAAAACGTTATTAAAACATGGACAATTAACGTAGTGTAGGAAAAAGATATTTCTGGTGAAAAAAATATATAAAAATAAAGAAACAACACAATTTTGATAATAGAATTTACCGAAAATTCTTGTTTTCAAAATTATAATTCGTATTGCCACACATTTTGTAACAACTTCAGAAAAATTACCGAGTAAATGGCATTAATGCCATGCTCTAAGGTATCATGCTAAAATTTTCAAATTTTCAATACTTAACAAGTTTTAGCAATTATTATGAAATAATATTTCATTGTTAACTTTACCACAATCATTAAAAAGCGCTTCTGTAAAAACTACTGTTCCTTCTCGTGTTCCCATCGAGCCAGAAACACGATAAATGTTACTATATTCTGGTAGTTTTCACGATATTTTTATCTCAGTTGCGCGAAATGAGGATATGGTATACTTTGCGCTACGCAGAACGAAGCTAAAACAACGTAAATAAAGTACAAATAAAAGTTACAGTAAAACCATAAATATACAATGAATAAGACACTGAGGACTGGTATAACAATGAGTCACCAAGGAACTATAGCTATAAATGAAATAATGAGAAAGTTATTTGTTTGTAGAACCGGAATAGTACCATAATTTTTATTGTCTTATCTGTGCTTTATTAAGATTGGTTTTTGCTTTATTAATTATTAAATAAATTTAAAATATTAATAATTTATTTATTTTTTTAACACTTAATATTTGAACAAGGTACATTAAAATGCAATTCGAGAGAAATGTAAGAGACAGATGTAATTTTGCGTATCTGAGGTACCATTATTTACACTGCCATCCAAATACTTGCTACAAAAAGTTTTTTAAAGTGTCCTCAAGTGATTCAATATAGCAAAGATCTACTTTTTTCTTAAATTTTAGTAAAACATGTATCATATTCAGTAATAATAAATCTTGTTAAGAAATTTGCTACATATTTTGAAAAGTGAAGTAAATACCATTAGTTTTCTATTTTCGGAAGTATTTCACTTTGAGAGAAAAGTTGTTGAAAATTCTTTTTGACAGCAATATTTCAGTCTAATGTATACATACTTGTCAGTATCGAAAAATTTTGACTTTCTTACTTTTTTTGTAACAAAAATAAACCCTTAAATTGCATCACTTTTCAGGAAATAGTAGCTTAGAGGGGTTATAATTGTTATGAAGTTCGGAAAAAATTACAATTTCAGATGATAATAATTCTTCTCATTTAAATGTGACTGACAAATAAATACATTTATTTCTAATAAATTAAGGATGAAAAAAACAATTGTTAAGCACTTATTTTTTAATGAAATTTTATTATACATATCTGATATGAAATTCTTTATTTTATTTTTCTTACAATTCAAGAACCTGTTGCAAAAAAAGTATCTGAAAAAGTTTCAATAGTGCAAAATTGTATAATTTTTTCAACCAAGTAAAATTCAAAAAATATATCATTTCCTGTATTAAGTAGATCTTGTTAAGACATTTGTCATATCCCAGACATTTTGGAAAGCGAAGTAAATACCACTGGTTTGTTATTGGCAGAAATATTTCACTTTCAGAGATGGATTGTTGTAAAATGTATTTGACAGCAATATTCCAGCCGAATGAAAAATTCTACACACATGTCAGTATTGAAGGATTTCGACTTCCTTATCATTTTTTTTATTTGTGCCAAAAATAAATCCCACAATAATATCACTCGCCCGGAAACTCTTTCGGAAGTTTGCCAACTTCCTGATAAACGCTGGATTTCCGAATGTAGAAACGTTGTTTGAAGATAGTACTTTTTTTCTCTTCTTTTTTTTTCATCGATTCAAAAAAAAAAAAAAAAATGACTCTCAAGAAATCAGATCACATCTTGAAATCTTACATCGCGCAAAATATATATCAAAAGACAAATACATTTTTCGTCATTTCCGAGTTCCTATTTTTAGATTTTTTTACACAGGCTAAACACTTTCACCGAAACTCTATGTTTTATATAAACGTTGTAAGCATTTGTCAATATGGGAAAACCATATAAAACTACTCAGTACATTATTTTCCCTATTTTCAGTCGTTTTTCTGTAAAGGAGTTTTGAGAAAAATAACTTGGGACATCATGTTTGTTTTCTACTAGCTGTTAACGTTCTACAATAAAAATTTCTTAAAATAAAATTGGAAAAATCAGAACTTAAATACCCTATTTCTACTAAATAAAAATAAATCACTTAAAAAAGGAAACTTAAGAAATAAATAAATATTTGTACCTACTTTTTTAAGTAAACAGTTTAAATGAAAAATTTTATTAAATAAATTTCAAAGAATAATTTAAAAAAATACATTACCAAATAAATAGCATAAATATTAATAAATATTACTTTGAATTCAGTTAAAGTATTTTATCTGAAATTTTAAATTTTAAAAAGGAATTATAATATTTCTGCAGCACTATTTGTGCATAAATCGTGAAAAATTAACAATTCATCTTGTTACTCTTTATAATGCAAAAGAGCTGAAAATATTTCTTTTATCAAGGAAAATATTATTGTTTCTAAATTTTTTTTAAAATATTACTTGCATGATGCTATGCATTTTTTGAATTGACCATATTCCAAAATTAGTTCAAATAATATTCGTTCCCCTAATAGTATTCAGATATAAATGTTTGTAGCACAAATTACCCAAGTAATTAAAAATAAAATGCATTTTATTCTTAAAGAGGAAATTTTATTTTGTAACTTCAAGGAATTACTTTGATCTGTCTACAAAACAACTGTCAGAAAAAATTTTAAAAATATTCCTTATAGTATAAAAATATAAATAATTAAACATAAAACATAAAAATATTCCTTAAAAATATTCCTCCCATGTGAACAACTAATCTCTAAATTTGCGGAAATAAAAATTTATGCCAAAAATGAAGTTATTTTAAATCACAACAGAAAATTATCACAAAAAAAAAACGTTTCTTTTAACATTTAATGACAAATGTTAAGTTATTTTTAACTCAGAGAAGAAAATTATTTTTTAAAAAAAATTTCATTTTAGTGTCCATAAGTAATAATTTATATTTTCTACTGAAATATTCCTTCAAAACAATTATAGTTATGTAGACATTGATTTATTATTAAAAGTGGAACTCTTAAACTGCAAAAATAACAATTCAAATGTCGCTAAACTTTCTTCGTTTTAGACGAAGCCGTTTACTGGCTTTTGCACCAAGCAAAGATTTCGTCACGAAATAACTATTGTCACTTCTTCAATGAAACGCCAAAATTAAAGAAATATTTCGTCATTCTAATTCTAAAAAAAAAAACATAGTGGCTAATGTATATACCCTTTCTAATAAACACTTTATTGTGGGTACCGTATTAGTAGATCTATGTCCCCCTAACAACCCTAGAAGGACAGAAATATAAATTACCCCTTTGCCCAAAGGGGGTTTCGAACTATGGATCTTCCGGTTAAAAGGTCAACTCCTTGACCGCATGACAACTGGTCGGCTTATAGTTGCTATATTTTCTATTGCCCAGAATTTATTCTAGTTTCATCATTCCAGTTAACGATCTCCCACAATGCACTACGGAGAGGTTTCGAGTTGAGGGAAGATCCATAGTTCGAATAAATGATTTGTAAGGTTCGTAACCAAGTTTTTTCAAACTCAACCTTGCACTTGGAATTTAACCAAGTTTTATAAATGTTTACCCAGTGATTAAATTTTAACTAAGCTATATAAATTTTTAACCTAGTTGTAGGCGCAGAATAGCCAAATCATAGCTCTTGCGCTAAAAATTTACATCACTCACTCACCAATTAGAAGGATATAAATATAAAATTTTCATTAAGCTCAAAGCGGATTTCGAACTATGGATCTTCCGGATAGAAGGTCAACTCCTTGACCACCTGACAACTAGTCGGCTTAAATTGTCACTATATTTTCGATTGTCCAGTATTTATTCTAGTTTCATCATTCCAGTTAACGATCTCCCATAATGCACTACGGAGAGGTTTCGAGTTGAGGAAACATTTTCGTCATACATTTAAAACGTTACGTTTCGTCACATATCATGCAATTTCGTTAAGAAATGATTCTCAAAATTAACGAAATTCTGTCCATTGATTGCCGAATCATCAAAAGTTAGAGTTTTACTTCTGAGAGGGCATGATTTAGCTAGATACTCTTTTAAGTTATTTTAATAATAAAACGTAAACTATGTATGCTATTTCATGAATTATAAATTCTTTTATGAGTAATTATCAATACATTTTTACTGTAAAGAAAATTAAATCCGGAATTCTTATAATTGTAAATATAATATTATAATGATATAATATTATATTTAATTAAGATAATTATCAATAAGTTCAAATTATAAGTAAAGGATTTAAAATATTAGTGTCTAAACTATCACTTGGCTTCAAGTATCTATATTTTATTTAAATGTCACTTTCATATTTTTCATTGAATTTGTGCTGGAATTAAAATATTTTGAGAAAGTAAAATTAAAATTGAAAACTAGTAACTTATGCTTTGTAATGTTTTTTTATGTGTTATTAATGCTCCAAAAAGTTCTGGCTTATTTTAAAATGATATTTTTTCTTTTCTAGTTGTCGCTTCACAACCAGAATTTACAGAATTGATACCAAATGCCACCGTAGCAATTGGAAGAGATGCTGTTTTACAGTGTACTGTAGACAATTTAGAGAATTATAAGGTAAATGCTTTATGTTAGTCACTAACATTTTCTCCTTCAAAGCTGCAATATATTTTGTCAGTTGGTATTTCCAATTAAATCTCTCTAGTTTGATTTATTTAACATAGCGGCTAGAGGGAATAAAGTTGAATTTGGATGTGCAACACTGTATTGTTTACGCTGCAGACAAAAATGCTTCTTTATTTCATTACAAATTTTCTATCAATTTACTTTCTAAATCATAAATTATCAACAAAAAAGAGAAAATTTGCATAATTAAGCTGATACTTATCTTTTTAACTCCAGAAACCATTACTTATTAGTCAGAATATTAAAAAAAGCATTAATATATTTTTTCCAATTAGTTTCTAACATGATCACCGCAAAACAGAATCACAGCCAAACAAGCGTATGAAAGAAAATTTTCTTTTACTGCAGTATAAAATTACAGTGTTTATTTTTTTAACGGAAATATGATTTAAAGTAATTTTAAGTTATTTTTTAATTACACTTAACATATTGGCTACACGAAACAAGCATTTTTTTATTTTTCAAGTCTGATGTGAAAGCTCTTGTTTTTATAGTTTAAAAAAATATTTTGGTCTGTTTAATTCATTGATAATACAATTTCCTTATGTTACCAAAAATTTAACAAATATAAACTTAAAATTACCTAACATTTTATTTGTAAAAGCATTTTTGTAATCTACATGGGGTATAAAAAATTCATTTTTTCCCCAATTTTATCAATTGAATCATCATGATTTCAAGCCGGGATCCTTTTTTAATAATTTTTTTAGTTTATTTCTAGGCATTTGATAAGACTAAATTAAATATTGTATGAAAATTTAAACTTGAATATAATTGGGTTAAAATTTTTAAGATGAAGGCTTATATATTTTATATATTTCAGTTTAATTTTGTGTTGAAATTTATGAAATTCTTAGTTTTTTTTCTTTGGTTTTTTAACAACAAAGAAGCAAACAAAGAAATCATCCTTTACGTTGATCACTTTATTCTATAATATATATATATATATATATATATGAGAAAAAATCGGTTAAGCCCCCTGTTTGCTGCCACTCAGCAACCCCGATGATTGCTTCACATTAATTGTGTTTTCTTTGCAGAAAAATATTTTCTAATAAAGTTATAATTATTCACTTAACATCTATGTACTAAACGGAATTCTGTTTGCTTACACTTTTGCCTCCACTTCTCACGTCCAAATATTTTTATCTATTAGTATTATAAATATTGAGACATGTTGGTGAACAGAAGCATTTTTTCTAATTTATCATTTTTTTTAAAAACAACATTTAGATTGATATAATATTATATTGTTCAAACAAATCTGAGGAATTCACAGGCGTAAGTTAATATTTTCGCTTATCAAACAAGAGGATATATTTACTTGTATCTCATTGTGTATGATGCTGATCATTAACCTCTAAATCATTTAACAGATCTTACCATGCTCTAAGGTTCCGTGATAAAATGAACAAATTTTATCAGATATTTAATGAAATTGTAATTTATTGTTAATTTAACCAAAATAATAACCAAAGAACTTAGGGAAAGTTTTTTGTGCATTTTGTAGTTCCCATGGCGCCGGAAAGATGGAAAATTTCATGATATTTAGTTAGCTTTGACCAGATTTTTTTTTTCTCAGAGTAAGATAAAATCTCAAATGAATTAATCTCTTTACATCTCAAGATGTGAATAAGATGAGTTGTATTTGAATTTCAAATGTTTGGTGTTTTGTCTTTTTAAACTATTTCATTGAAATAAGCACATTTTTTTCGTTTGTAAAATTGAAAATGCGCCTTACTAATGTAATTAGGTAGTGTCGTTCATAACTGTGCTAAATTTTCATTTTTAATAAAGAGTTTACTTACAAAACTTATTTAATAACTAATTTATAATTCTTGACTTTTTGAAACTAAACACAATGCTCTGATTTTCGTATTTTTAAATATGCTTAAACTTTTGAAACAAGCTGTATTGGCTTTAATTTTGAAATAAATGCCTAATCTTTTATAATTTTTTGTACTGAATTATTTATATTTGTAAACTCAAACTTCTAATTTTTTGTGCCAAATTTAGGTTTCGGGATTTTCAAAATTTTTTAATGTAGTTTTATTATTTGAAGTTTATTGAAATAGTGGAACATTAATGTAAGCTAGTGTTATTTATCAAGCGAAAAATTTCAGTCAGTTATCACGTAAGTTAGTGATCACGCGAGTTAGTTATCATAGCTGAGTTAGTTATCACTTGAAAAATTTCAATAGAAATAGGAACNCTGGACTAGGTTCAAAATTACAAGGCTACGGAATGGAACATTACTAGTCGTAAACTCAAAAATTGGGAAGTCTGTTCAACGACGGTTATAAAATAAAATAAAATAGAAATAGGAACTATGCTTAAGTAAACGAAATTAGGCATGAAAGGAAAATTTAGTTTCAATATAGTTGATAACCTAAAAATACTTTATTTGACTTATACATCAAAAATTAAATTTTTTTAATCATTATTATTGTACAGGATAACTTGTTTGACTGTTTCTATGACTTACACTATCAAGCCATGCCAAGCCTTTTTTGCGCTTTATAGCACAAATGTATTGTCTAAAAAAATTTAAAGGAAATATCTTTCAAAAGAATATAATCACTTAAAAATGTACTCTATAAGGAGCTCAGGAAAATTTTGAGATAAATATGAGAAATATCTAAAACGAATGTAACACTTACTTCCTGTTCACCGTGGAAAAAACTGTTACATTTACGGATATTGTCAGGTAGCGTGCCAGTATAAAACTTTTTATTTCATAGAAAAATAATGTTATTTGAAGCGCCTGTTTTAGGTAGATAAGTACTTTTATTTTGACAAAGTATGATATTTTAACAACAAAGCAAAATAAAGAAACTCTATAAAATAATTACGTTAGTCTAGTGGTAAATGCTAGACGAGAGCAGCATGCGTACGACCAGTCGATGCTGGGAATGAAACCCGTAAAAAAAGTTTGGCAAATTGACTTGCCAAATAAAAGATATCAAAATAATAATAAAAATCAGGTAAAGTATCAATTTGACAATAAATTCTAATTATAGTTTTATTTATTTGATATGTAAAGCAATAAAATAATTGTTCGAAAGTAAGAGCAAGTAAAGGAAATAATCTTAAAATGATTTGAGCGAGGTAGAGTCATAGTATAATAAGCAAAACTGTATGGCGAAAACTAGATTTTGAACTGACCGTTAATTCTGTATATGATTAGTATAAAAAACAGAGGAAAACTGTTTTGTTGACAAAACAGCCTTAAGTCTTCCAATATAAAGGAAATTCTGTAAAAAAATGTATTAAAAAAAACGCTATTATTTTTTTTTACAGTGAGCAAATAAATTAGTTTTCTTAATAGAGTTTTAAAACTAAAATTAAAATAATAATACATATGCTAAGATTATGCAAAAAAAATTAAAATTGCTCTGCCTAAAACACACAAAATTAATAAAATTACTACATTGCCTTCTTGAACATTAAGATTTATTTTATCTTAATTGAATTCTAAAATTACTTTTAACTGAGTCAGAAGTGTTAAGATTTTATATCACATTTAAAGCCGTATAATGTATAAATATAAAATAACTGAGCCAAAATTATTGCAGTAAGATAACGTAATATTTGTTTTGAACCATAAATTGTCTTAAACCATGCATTTGCATCAGTATAGCTATTCTCCTAATGTATCTTACAAACAAACGAATATGAAAATAGGATAAAAATAGAGACATAGAAGTAATATAAAGATATAAAGAAAAACTAATATATATAAAAAAATAAGCTAAAGATAGTATAACTATACTATTGTACTAAAACAACGTTTACTATATTTGTTCTGAGACAGAAATTATACATTTATATCAATATAACTATTTTTACCAATATATCTGAAAAACAATGACACCAACTAATAGAAAAATAAGATCAAAATAGAGATATATTAAAAATAGCATGATATATTTTTAAGTAACAGGTGTATTCCTTTCCAATATTTCAGAGTTTTGGAGATAAAAATACAGATAAATATGCATTTTAGTAAGGAAAGATAGAAAACTTTTTTCAAAAAAACGTAGAGAAATATTTGCATTTCCTTTTTTAAAATCCTAACTTTGTTAGATACTCGCTCCCCTGGCTGGTTTTATGAAACTTTTTTTCTATTTTTCCCAAAGGTGTAATAAGTTTGGAAATTGGCCACAAAGGCCTTGTTCGGGTTTCGCAACAGATTTTTGAAAACGTTTTATTCAAAATTTTTGAAACTGATAAGCATAATCTTTCTTTTTCATTTAAAAATAGAACAATTTCGCGAAATATGCCTTAGTTTTTTCTTTTATATTTTTCTTTTTATTATATTAATGGTAAATAGAGTTTTCTAAATCTTTTAAAAACAATTATTTTAAAAATTAATAGCTCGTCAAGTAGTTATTTAATTTATATTGAGCTTGTATACAAAAACTTTGTAAGGATGATGTATATTTGTAGGTAATTTGCATTTTAGACTTATAAATGCTTCTAGGTTTTATATAATTTTATTTGGAAAAAAATTACACTAATATAAACATACTCAAATATTTTAGACCAATTTGATATTTTAGCTTAACAAACTTATCCAAGTGACTTAATTATTAACAAAATTAATGTTTTAATTTCCTCAACAAAGATTGAAGATTTGAAGTTTCTAGATCCGAAAATATAAATAAATGCATGTATTTTATTTTTAATATTCAGTCTAAACTTATAAGTTGTCTAAGCATAGTGATTTCAGCTATATTTCAAAAACCGCAAGTTTAATTCACAATTTAGAAATATAAAGCAAGTTATAGAGTAAATTAATCGTTAAATGTCCTTTATAAGTATCTAAACTGACGTTTCCCTCGTCTGCTAAGAGTGTGCTGAAGTATATTGTTAGAATTTTATTCAATATGATTAAAGAATTATGAAAAAAAAATATTGTAAACCTTGGGCTAAGCATATACAAACATTTAGAAAAAAGATAAACGAGAATAAAAAAAGTAATATTTTTATCAAATGGAAAACAAACTACACTCACAGGAGAATTAAAATAATCAGGCATAAAAATCGAAAGATCAGGTAGCGAATTACTTAATCATTATAAACTAAACGGATCTAATACAAAAGTAACACATTCCAAATTGTGTTAATTACATATGCACATACTAAATGCTGATACGAACAGACAATTCGTTGATTAAAATATAATATTTGCAGGCCGTTGTAAACATTCGTTAAAAGTAGTAATTAAAATACTTTGGAATTTGAGAATTATAAATAAAGGAGTTTCAGGTCTGTATTTGTTTAAGTTCCTCTTTATTCTAGCAGTTTATAACAATGCTAAAAGTTGGATAAATATTTATGTGTTGTTGTCTTAAACACATATTTATGATGAATAAAAGTAAACTAAATAAAATTACGTTGACAGATTTGCTGAAATAATTCATAGATAACCAAATAATGATGCTAAAAGATGTATACTATGCTTCAGTATAAAGTTCAATGTGGCTCTTAGTTAACGTTTATAAGGCGATTATAGAATTTTAATTTGTCATTTAAAGAAGGTACTTATACATTACGTAAAAGATAATGAAATTTCATAAAAACTTCCTTTTAAACAATTTATATCCAGCAATATTTTTAAAGAAAAAATAAGGTATATTATATTTGTAATATATTAAGCATATTCATAATATATTCGCTTTTGTAATATATAAGATAACTTATTGAATATGCTCAAAGTTAAGTTATCTTTACTAAAATAAATCCTTGTTATTTTAGTTGAAATGCGTGTAAAATTTCGAATTTAGGAACGAGGTATCTCTTAATGACTAGTTTTCTCATTTACCTGATTTATTTTGAGATTTTATTGGAATCTTATTTTATGAAACACAAGGAGATATAACACATATTGAACAATAAACACCTCCAAGCTATTCCTATTTTCGCATGAGCTGTCACTGACTGTCAGAATTTTGAATGACTTTTTGAAGGATATTTTGTAGAAAATTCAGAAAAAAGCTGAGTGTAATGGAATGAGAGGTGAGGTTACGGGAAAACCTACCAGTTTTTCACACTCCTGCCCAGATCTTAGAGGATACATCTAACTTACAAAATGCATAGAACATGCAAATGCATGTCGTAGAGTTCGAAGAAGAGAAGAGAAGTTCAAAATGAAGAAAAAACAAGGGAAAATTACAAACTAATGAAAAAAGAGAGAAAAAGAAAATTAATAATAAAAATAAAAATAACAAAAACTGGAAGAAAAAAAATCAGAAAAAAACGATAGAATTCTCTTAAAAAATCCGGAAAATAAAAGATATAATCTTTTTGTCAGCCCACACGATTAGATCCGCAATTATTGTTAAAATATTATTGTTTTTCTCAATTTTCTTCGTGTTTTCTGTATTTATCAATAATGTTACATATATATANCATATATATATATATGAGGGGGAATAGTGACTGATAAATAAATGTTCTCTAAAATTTTTAATTGCAGTGCATGACCGGAAGATATTAAACGATTTTTTTCTCATAATTTTCCTATTTTTATGTTGGAAATTTCCAGATTATAGCATTTTGAAAATAAAAACTGCAGGTTCTTACGCCTAAGCCTGCTGTGCACTCATACCCATGGTTAGTAAAATGAATACAATTGACGCAATGCACTCTTCCAGTGAACACGAAAAAACGCGAATTATTTTCTGTATTTCAAACGCTGTTCGTAAGTCAAAAGAATACTCGTAAAGTTCAAAATCATATGATGATTTGAAGATTTCATGTATATACTCGAATATAGCTTACTCTTCTTTTTTACATGCTTCATGTATTAAAATTAAAATTCTAAAACGAAATAAATAAACATTCATGAAATTTTTTTATATTATTCTTTAATCATACGTCACGCCGAAATGACTTATATACTTCATTTCGCATGGTTTCGAAGGTCAAATCTTTCTTTTTGAACTTGCAAGTTATTTGAATGTGCCCACTTTCCGTTTAATTGCACTCGCTCTTCATCTGTCTAAGCCCACTCTTTGGCTAAATGCTGTTTCCTTTAATTTGTCACGTCGAAAGCACCCCCGCAAATATTTATAAAATTAAATCGTAGCAAATCAAATAAAGAATATTTATAATAAGATTATTCTTTATAATGCGTTGATGTAGCGAAAAGCCTAAAAGAAATAAGTATCTGCAAAGGAGTTAAAAGGAAAGAAGAATTACAGAAAGCAAGTGGCTAAATATAAATAAAAAATGTCATACAATTAGATAACAAAAATCGTTTAGAAGAAATAAATATAATATGTTTGCTGATAGCTTTATTGTGTAAAATAATTTGAAAAAGTATCGTGTTAATTTTCAGTGCTTCTATATATGTTAAAATAATATCACTTTAATAATAATAATAATAATTAGAAAAATCTAATCTCCAAAATCCACAATAGAAAAAGAAATTCATAAAAATCGTTAACGAATAGTATTGAATTTCTAAAAATATATATATTGGATTTGCTATTGTATAGGCAATAAAAATAAGAAGCAAACAAAAGCTTCTAATTTCGAAATAAATTGGAGTTTTAATGCCAAAAAATTCTATTCATATGGCAAAAATACATCTAAACAAATTAGTATTTTTATTTCATTAACACGTGGTGGAATATATAAAAGTTCAAAAGAATCAATGCGTCTGGTGACTGATTCTTGTGATACCTTTCTTGTAAAGCATATTCCGTAAGAGTTTATGAAAACTGATGATAAAGCCTGAAATTTATTATAAAAGTACATATTTTGTTGTTCAATTCCAAATTTAGTTCATTTTGTCAATAAAGGGATTATGAAACTCTATGGACTATTTTATGAAATTTTACATATATGAAACTTAATATACGCACATTGTACATTATTTTACGTTCACTTTATTCTCTTTTTGTTAGATTTCTTTTACTCGAGGACAAAGAAACTGTAATTAATACGTCTGTGAGTCTAATTATATCAGTCATACACTATTAATTAATAACTAATTATCAACATACATCAAATATTTCAAAAAGGGAAGATGCCGTTTTTATTTTTTATAAACTTTTTACTACAAATTTTCTTTAGAACATCATTGTACACTCATGTTTAGATTTAATATTTTATATTACATACTAAATGTGAATAATGTCATTAATGTTTTAGGTTGCTTGGATTAAAATGGATACACAGACCTTACTTTCTATACACAAGCATGTTATTACAAGAGATAAAAGAATAAAAGTGACGAATAATAATTTACAGTGGAACCTACATATCAGCAAAGTAGATGAAAAAGATAAAGGATATTACATGTGTCAAATTAATACTGAACCAATGGTTAGCCAATTAGGGTATTTAGATGTCATGGGTAAGAATATTTTGTTTTCTTAAAGCAATATTGTTTGCTTTTAAATGTTTATTTATTTTATAAACACTTAAATAAAATAGATTATATTCAAAAACTAACAAATGGTGTTTCTCAGTTTTTTTTAGAAGTTCAAAATTAATGAATTGTTTTTTAAATGTATTTGTAACTGGAGAATATATCTGGAGAAGGTCTTTAACTTAATACCGGGACTACACTGTAAAAAATTCCGATTCAAGTTACAATAAAGTTTTACTGATAAAGGAACCTGAGATATATCGTAATTTTTACAGCGGCATTTACTCTAAAAACGATGAATTGATTAAATAAATATTGCTGTAAAGTTTGCAATTTAAAAATTTCCCGATCAATATGAATTTTGCGGATGATGTACCCTTAACGGCTGTTACTTGTTACCGCAAATTGGTCCGAAATTTTTTACAGAGCAGATAATTTATTCCGGGATTTCGCAACATACATTGTGTATTATAAGAATTTGAAAAATCTGAGCATATTGTTAAACATAATAATTTGCTCTACATAATGCAAATTAAGTACATAGCTGAATAAGGCATAGTATACAGCGCAACTCATTACTAAACATTAGCGTTTTCTATATAACGTATTAAATGACCTTATAACCCTTTTAACTAGATTTCTATGATAATATACAATTAAGAGATTGACCCAATGCCGGATAAAGTCGAAACTTTAATCAAGGCAAGAAGAGTTCCATCCAAAATTTAAAATGTGTATAAAACATAGAGATTTCAAAATTCATTGCTTACGAAATAGTGATTTCTTATTTTTGCTTTATAAACAAACAAAAGTAAACAAAAGCAAACTAATATAACGATTTGGCTAATAATGCTTAAATGAATCGAGAAAAATGAAAAAAAAGGAAATTTCAAAACAAGTATATGCACTTTATAAACTGAAATATCTGGGAAATTTGCAATCATTATCGCCACCTCTTTCTGAATGCAATTTATTATTGCGTAAAAAAATACTTAAATAAATAACCTGTCCTTTTCTCCATTAACTCTTAATATCGTTAATTATTTCGCCCTACATTATAAGAACCAGATAAAATTACGGTAAGAAGTTCCGGCACTTTGGGGGCATCATTCGTTAAATCCATTTTACCCTAAAAAACAGTTTTATCATAAAATATTGTACCATTATCTTAATAATAATATTTCTTTAATTTAGACTAATTTCATGTTAATTATTACCGTAAAAAATTCGGTATATCATATTTGTTTGTTAAGTAACAAAATTCCACTGAAAATGGATTTTACGGTAAAATGTACCTCCACCTTGAGAGACAGTAATTTTTCCGGAATTTCATCACGAAATTTTTACTACATTGCATGCATTTAAAAGAATTTGTTTTATCAAAATGCAAGCAGAACTGTCCAGAATAATATAAGTGCAACCTGATGACCACACATTCTTCGGGATAATATATTTTTATCTAGTTCATTTTTGAGGAGTACATACAAATGCTCTTCTTTTCCACTACTCCCCACTTTTTTTTCAAATCGCAACTTTTTTTAAGGAATTTTTTGCTTACTTTCTTAGAGCTTGTCATTAGTTTTCGTTAGCTATATCTTTTTGTAACTAGATTTAATTTATTGAGAGCCATTCATTTAGTTTTAGGTTTGAATAATAAAACGCAATTTCATTCAGAAAAGAAAATTGCATTTTCACGACCCAAACTCTATAAATATTTTTATTGCTGTAAAAGTAGAAATATTTTATATTTCCACTGCTTAAATAAATTTTCTTAAGCAATCATTTAATGTAAAAAAATATCTATTAAGCAATGAGTATCTGTTATTTGTCTTCTAAAAAAGAAATGAATTATGCATGATACGAAATACAGATGTCTTCATTAAGACACATTCTCTACCTTGAAAATACAATTTTCAAAGTATAGGTTGAAATGCATGCTTTATTCAGAAATACTACATGTTTTATAAATAAAACCCTGCAATGAAAAGTGTATAAATCAGGTTATATAATTAGGTGTCGTATTTTTAATATACAACTTCCAAATACAACTGAATTGAAGTTGCATTAGTCTTATTCAATGTACAATCTTATCCTATCATCAATTCTCATAAACTCGAGTTTCACATTACTATAATTACATTCTAGGAAGCTCAACGACTTTGTCTAATCCATATCTAGCGCATGAGTTCACGTAAGCCATTAAGGAAAATTGCCTCTTATGTTGAGATATTCTTGTAAAGATAATTTTTTTTTTTTGCCTTTTTGCATTTGCCATGAAACAGATTTAAAATCAGATAATTCAGTAAATTTCACTTAATTAACATTTATTTATATGTTGTTTATAGACTTAAATTCTATACGTAATAAGAAGATATTAAAATTTAAAAATCGTCTGCTTAAGAACATTTCCTCTCTCAAGACAGAATTCTCGCGCGTTTACTAAGTGTTTCGTGACTAACTTCCATTCTTTAAAAGACGATTCGAACCTATTCGTCCCTTCTGCCTCCTCCTTTCTTTTTACCGCTTTTTACCACTCTTCTCATTCTCAACGCAGGAGCTGAAAAGTACTGGTATTTTTTTTCGCAAATAAGGAGAAACGGTCGCTCTTCAATCCGGACCAACCGTTTCGTTTAATTTTCTGATAGAGCGGACCTCAAGGTGGGAGAGGGGAGTAGGCAACGGAGGGGTGGTTAAGTTGGATGTAAGACGATAGAGACGAGAGGGAAGTGTAAGGGTGTGGGGAGGAAAAGAAAGAGGTCGTGGTTTTTATTCGATGTTTGATTTTTTGCCGGACTATATATTTTCTCTTTTTTTTTCCATGGTGATACAAAAAAGACGGTAAGAAAAATGCTTTCATTGAGGTAAGGACGTAGACTTGGAATAAAAAGGATTTAAGTCAATTTAGAAATGACACTAACATTCTTTTGGGGGTGTATTGTGAAATATGTTTTTAAAAAGAAACTGTTGAATGGAGATCATATTGCAAAAGCTTCCTTTGGGGATTGTGTTAACTTTTATAATTAATCTGAAATTTTGCACTGTTGAAAATGAAGACCAGTTTAATTTCCTCTTTTAACAATTCATAATGTATATTATTTTGTAAATAAACATATCTATAACTAATGAAAATTTAAAATTATTTTCTTCTCGTTCCTTTCTTTTTTTCTCTCTTTTCTTTTCCTTGTTTTATCGCTAATCTTTCACTTCCTCGTCTCCTTTTTTTCTTCCTTTTCCTTTCACTCCATTCTCTTCCTCTTCTTTTCTTCTTTTTTAAATAAGAATTAAAATTTTATTATAAGAATACATTTTAACTACAAATTAAGAAATTATTTAAATTGAATTGAAATTAATTAATTAATTAAAATTATTCAAATTTAAAATTAATTAATTTTGAGCTGTGGTAAATTGGCGAGTAGTTGGTGTATTTTGTGTTGAGTCGAAACTAAATAAATTTTTAAGAATAGAACTGTAGTTATCACAATACAATTAAATAAAATTGACTAAATAACAGTTGTTTGAAATAATTAGAGCAAGTATACTACTAAAATGTGCCAGATTTTAAGCAAAATATTTTTTTCAATGATGCAATAAATTGGCTCTAATGGGCATGAAAATTTATGTTGTCAGTAAGAAACAAACCAAAATAGAATAAATAAATAAGTAAAACTATAACAGGGGAAAAGTAAATAAATATAACTACATACGCAGCAAAAAATTTAGTTTACCTCAAATAAAGTTCTTTGTAAGCTTACTCCAAAAAACGCAAAATTTTGGTGGAAACATTATTGTACAAAGATATAAAGTTTCTTAAAAATTAATTTAGGGGATAATTATCAGCATAACAAATAAATTGTGCCACTTTTATAGATTTTAAATATCATTTTTTAAACTAATAACATCCAGTTAAAATAGCTTAGTAATTTTTCGACGAAAATAAATTAAAAAATAACAAATGAAAAAAAATAAATAAACATTGTTTGAAATCTCATTTTCTTGCAAATTACATAACAATTTAGTCCTTCTTAAAAGTATTTTTTCTAACACGAGTAATGAAACTGAAGTTAAACGGAAAAGGTAAAAGTATATGCGCTTTATTAGCACTTAACGAAAAATATTTCGAAAGTAAGTGATAAATTCGACTAAAATAATGTCCAGTAGTTAAGTCTAATAAATTTAGGAATATGAGTTCTGTATAAAATTTGAAAAAGCTTGATTGTTGAATGAGTCACTAAAATTTCTTTTTCTGTCTGTATCTTATGAAAAAAAAATATTTGCAATATTAAGCAAACTAAAACAAAGTATTTAATTTCTCTGTATTATTTCATGATGCAAATATTTATTTTCAATTATTTTATTATGCAAATAATTTCTAAAAACGCTTTCTCGATTAGTCGATGACTATTAGACTAAATAGTGTTATTGTTTTGTTTATTAAAATTTCTAGCCAATTTTTTAAAATGAGTATTTTAAATGATTTGAATTGCCTTAAATTTCTACATATTTAAATGCTTTTTCAGTTTTAATTATCTAAATGCTTATCGTAGAAAAAAATAGCTAAAAACATTGATTAAATTTTAAAGGTTTAAAATTAATTCAGATTGAAACTTAAAATTTTATGAAGTTGATAAAATCGAAACTAGTAAAAATTAAATAAAATGGAAATGCAAAAATTAAATAAATGAAAAAGTAATCAGAGTATAAGGCAAACTACTGCGATTTTAATTAATGGTAAAATCGTTTTAGATTATTGTTGGAGAAATTATTCATCAAAACATGTTTAGTTATCAGAAATAATTAGTGAGCGCAAATTTTTTTAAAAATTTTATCTCATTATTTACATTTAGCGCTTTGAAGTATATATTTATATTTCAAGCATTTAACAATCAGCTATTAATTTGTCAAAGTATAATTTCTTTTTAAATATTTTTGGAGCATTTATCATTTTTTTCAAAATCATGCGTTCTTTCCTTATTAAAAAAAGTACA